ATCAAAATGTACTAAATCCAAAGGCAAGTTGACACATCCACAATGTTCTTTGACCAAGTTCAAAACCATATACATCTGGAAGGGAAGATATTATTTTTTTCAGTAATTAACACAATAAATGCATTAAAATGTTCAATAAAATTGTTTATTCAATGAAAACAGTTGAAATCAACAAAAAGACATTCAAAATGTTGACACAGGAAACGATACGTCCCCTATTGCATTATTACAACAATATTTCAATATAAATTATTTTTTTCCGTTCTCGAATGTTACAAGGACATTTTGTCCTCTCAAGGACAAAGCGAATTTAAAATGCGTAGACAGTTAAATCCTTGTTTCTCTTCGTTGCTGCCAGTTGAAATCTTCACGGTCTTCCTGCATCATATCCATGCATTGTTTTCCTAACAATTTCACGATGTTTTTACCTTAAAATTGTCGATTAAATCGACGGAATGCCCTTTTTCAGTACTTGGCAATGGCCCCATCATGGCCATTTTACAACACCTCGTCGAACCCTCTCCTTTTCCACCATATTGGTGCGTCTTTACCACTCGCTCAAACACGTTTAGAAGTTAAATTTGTAATGAAATCTTACCATGTTCCCACCGTTGCGATCTGCTCTTTTAACTGAACAGGTCGACGCCATTCTCTTCGTTGGTATTCTTGCTTTTAACGAGTTCTTCTCTCTCAGACCGCGCCGCATCGCCATCTTCACCCGTCACAGCTGTGTCTTCTCTCCGTGTGCGCGCGCTCCTCGTCCTCTCGGTGCTGTTATACTGATCAAGTGGACGGACAGCCCTGAGCTTCAGCGTAAGCACAGACAACTTCCTCTCACTGCAGCATTCTGGGTAGAAGAAACGCAGCATCCATGATGGTGTATGGAAACTAACTTTGGAATTCAGCGACCGAATAAAAGCTCATTCTTTTACACTGGCATTCTGGCAACGCTGCAATTTAACGACAAATATCCATACGACAGCAAAGCATTCCTATTTCAATAATAATAATTAAAAAACTGATAAAATAACCACTTCGCTTAGCCTGCTATTGTGTTGTTGACTTACATGATGTAAAGTACATTCTTACAGTAGATTACCGGTCAAAAGTTTGTAAACATTACTTTTCAATTATTTTCAGAACTTTTTATGTTTAAAGAAGGTTAGAGTCATCAAGCCTGCATTTATTTGATCACTAGTACAGAAAAAAAAACAGTAAAATTGTGAAATATTATTATAATTGAAAATAATGGTTTTCTATTAATATGCTTTAAAATATAATTTATTTAGTCTGTGTGATGCAAAGCTGATTTTCAGCATTATTATTACAGTCTTCAGTGGCACACGATCCTTTCAGAAATAATTATAATTTATTCTCAAATTTTTTAGCAAAGTTAGACACAGTTGTGCTGCTTAATTTTTTTTTTTTTTTTGGAAGCTGTGATACTTTTTTCATGAATTCATTGATGAATACATAGTTAAAAAGAGCAGCATTTATGCACAATATAAATCTTTACTTGTCATTTTTTAACACATTTTCCCTTGCTGAATAAAAGCAGATCAGCACTGAAGTCTGGAGAAATTATGCTGAAAATTCATCTTCGCATCACAGAAATAAATTACATTTTAGTATATATAAACAGAAAACCGTTATTTTACATTGTAATAATATTTCACTATATAAATATTCTTTCTGTATTTTTTTTTATCAAATAAATGGTGGTTTGATTAGGAGGAACTTCTTTAAAAAAAAATGTGATTTTTCCAAGCTTTTGACTGGTACTGTATAAAGCCATAACTTTATATAACAAAGCAACAAATCTGTTCAGATTATAATCCTAAAACCAAGGGAATTAGCTAGGCCTATATAAATCAACTTTTATTACAGAAAAATGACACATATTGACCTCAAGTTAATTTTAAAGAAAAAATAAATTGGAAAAAAAGAAAGTTGTTAAAAAATTGAAAGTTGTTACTTCTAAAAAAGTAATCTGTGACATTGTTGAATATCAAAGTTATTTGTTTACGAGGGGTTTGTGGAGACATTAATGTTTTATATTTGTGGATTAAGAATATAGTTAGTTTTTATTTTGAACCAGGTGCAGCCGCCGAGTGAAATGTTACCAGTGTTAATATTTATTTGTTTATTTATTTAAAAGGCTACTTATTGTAATTCATGGGGTCATTATCAAGTCATTCAGACATCTTTGATATTTAAACCTAATTGAGCGATTGAATTTACAGTGTTGGTATGACAAAAGGTAGCCTACAGGTTGCAACAGCCCAAGTCAAACCTCCATGGTTTATATAAAACACTTTTGCAATATAAATAATATAATGATCGAAAACTCATATGAAGTTTGTATAAATATTTATAACCACTATGAATATGACAGTTCTTTTTTGCGAATGGTGCACCAGAACCTCAGCTCTTGTCAATGGCTCATTTCTCTCCAACAGCTAGTCTGCACTCTGCATACCTCAGTTGGTTTCTTAGCAACTGTAATTGTATGAGCCTCGGCTCCCTCCCCCTCTCCTCTACAGTCATGCCACGTAGGCAATGGAAAATGCAGCAGGTGGACTTTTCATGCAAGGTAGCTAAACCTTTAGGTTTAGATAGCTAAACCTACCATGGTTAGGTTCGCTAAGGAAGCGAGCTAAACTCTATCAATTATTTGTGTACAAGCTATGGCATTTCAAAAACAAAAATTAAAATACAGATAGAAAGAGGTGTTAAAACCAGATGCCAAAACCAGACTAAATTATATTTTCCTTTAATACTAAAAATACTGTATAATAAATGACACCATATATTGACCCTTTATATCTGCACACAAATGGAAATGGAAATGTTTTTGTGTAGTATAATAAAACAAAGATGTGAAATTAATTTGGACTGAAAAATAAAACAATGTAAGAGCCCTCTTGTGGTCTTGTATGACTTTTTTTGGGGTTGTTTGGACTGTGGAGCAATCAGCAGCGCCCAATGATTTTTGGTTTGAGGGCCATCATGCAAATAGAAAAGTTTGACTTTAAAATGAGCTTTTTACAATAACAATCTGGGGCCGGTTGCATAAACCGCTATGACTAGTCTTACAAGTTAGTCATCAATTTAAGACTGTTAATAACTTTTTTCAATCAGGCCTAATTTGATACCGAAAAGAAATACTGACTACTCCTTGACTAACTTGGTCATAGACACTGTCTTAAAATAATGGAGACAAGCCAAAGGGCAATCAGTCTTACTTTTTGCCTTCAAATTAGACCAGTCTATGTTTTTATGTTACTGACTTAAAGCAGTTATGAACGGTCTTAAGGAAAATAAATGTGATGACTTACTAGTCTTTCTGCAACTGCCCCTTATTTTCCTGCATGCACTGACAGAAAGGTCAACTGACTGCATCTGTGTAGATTGCGCCACCATGTGGCTAATATGAACAATGTATTTATTTTACTGTTTATACGTTTCTCCACTTTGAGAATAATTGAATAACTCCCCCAAAAATCATAACCATGGTCCCATAACTACAATTTAGCAGTCTGAAACACCAAGGACTGCGTCTGCTTATAACTTTTAATATTTCAAAGCTTTATCTTCGTTTAGGTTATGCATGTATTATTATTATTATTAACAACAAACAATGCATTATACATGTTTGGTTTTAATGTGTATTATTAATGTAATAATATATGCATTTCTATCCAGGAGAATATGGACTGGGAATCCTCTGTTAAATAGTGTTAAATAACAGGATGAAGCACAGGGAAGCCAAGCCTAATCCAACAATAACCCATTTCCTTCTCTTATGACCTGAAGAGATCAAGTCATGCATGTATTCTGCTGAGATCCACTATGGTTAGTAAAGGTTTTTTAATGGCCCTTTTGAGATTTTCTTCAACAACAGCCTCTTGCAAAGCACTATACCCATCATGTAGAAAAGTACCACACACCACATAAACATTAGGCTATTTCCAACTTCATTGGTTCCTTCTTAAAGGGATAGTTCATTTTGAAATTAATTTTTGATATGTTTTAGCTTAACTCGAGGGCATCCAAGATGTAGGTGTCTTTGTTTCCACAGTATTTTCAATTTTGATATTTTTAGGTCAAACCGTTCTTGTCTGTCAGTCATATAATGCAGGAATATGTGGTCCACATTAAAGAGCATGCACAGAGAAGTCCAGATTAAACTGACTCGTAAGTACACATTGACGGCCTAAGACACGAAACGAGCGGTTTGTGTGAGAAAACAAACAGTATTTATATCATTTTTACCTTTTGTAACCACAGCCACAAAGCGCCCGCGCCCTCAGATCACTTGGACTTGGCTGTGGTTACAAGAGGTATAAACAAATACTGTTCATTTTCTCACACAAACCGCTCGTTTCGTGTCTTAGGTGTACTTAGATAGATAGATCGATAGATCGATAGATCGATAGATAGATAGATAGATAGATAGACAGACAGACAGACAGACAGACAGACAGACAGACAGACTGCTGGGGGCAACACATTACAAGTGTGTCACGAGGTACGTAATTAGATTACAAGTTTTAAGTAAAGCATACTAAATTTAGCCTACAAGAAAATATCTGAGTTACTTTTTGTTTGAGCTGCAGCCTACAGGTCTGAATGTGCATTTCATTAAGCCTGATGCTATTAGTTTTACTTTTGGTGTGAAAGGGCCTTACATTTGAAAAACAAACAGGAAAGCCCAGCCCAGATGGGGAAAAGTAGGCCTAACGTAAGTAACGAAATCAATTAGTTCCTTTTTTAGGGATAAATGCAATATTGTAGGCTAATATGCAATAACATAACACATAGCCTGCATTTGTCAATTTAAATTGAATTGTCAAATTAAAAATGGTTGATTGTCTGATTTGTAGCCTATACTCTCGTGAAAAAAAAAAAAAAAAAATATTTCGCCAACAACTATCAACAGGCGCTCTTGTTTTATTAAAGCACGTTGGTGCCAAACCGTGATGCACATTGGTTCCTCGTCCGTCTGGACCCTCCCGGAGCTCTTCCGGGTGTGGATAATACACATTTCCTCCTGCCGACACGCATTCCCAAGAAAACATCCTGAACGGACCGAGCTGCGTGCAAGTGCAAACCAACGAATGAGACAGGGCACTTGAGATTGAAGACAGATTATGAACAGATACTCGCAAGATTGTGTTTGAAGAGCGACTGTGAGAACTGTGGAATATTTGAGATGTCAGACTCAGAGCATCATTTCCCATCATCCGTCAGACAGCTGTTGTTCGTATTTCGAGTTATAGAGCGCCGAGCTTCTTTATATTGACTCTTTTCAATATACAAAACATCAAGTAAACGGATTAAATCGGGAAACAAAATGTGGCCAATGCCATCTTATTTTGTTTTTGCTCTTATTGTCACCATTGCCCAGGAGCTGAACGGAGAACCACACGATACGCGTCCCTCAGCGATGCAGTTGAATTCAACATTACCGCCGCAAGAAGATTCTTCATCACATAATACAACAGATGCAGCAGTTGGATCTCGCATTTCTACCATTTTAAGGGATCTTCCTACCATCAAAAATATTTCGATTTTTATCTGCGTGTTAACAACCTTGCTTATTACTTGCCTTGTCATAAAAATATTCAGGTAATATAAGTTGCTATATATTTAACTGGTGTATTATTGTGTATTACAGTTAATCTGTTGGTTTTAAGAAAATGCCACTTTACTTTTAATTGAAAATGGAGTCCTTTTCGATTCATTGGTAGGCTAAATGTCTCTTTAGATTTCGGGTGGGCTTGCTTAAAGATAGAAATGAACACACACACACACCATTTAGGCTATACAGAATTTGTCAATTTCAGAACATGCTGGATTTTCTGTTGACGCCGACTCGTTTTCCCTGACTTAATCCTCTTTGGAAGCAGATGGTTCGCCTGTTGGCTGGAAACCGAACCGTTTTTATTCAGAATCTTTTTCACGACGTTTGGTCGGACTTCGAAACTGCAAATGTGAACGAAACTAAAATACTCTGACAGTCTCCAGCTTTTTTATATAGCAAATAAAGTGCAGTCTGACTTTCGAACAAATGACTCTTATGAGTCGGTTCTTTGTAGCGAATCAAAACACTAACCATAACGTTTGTGTATTGTACAACGTACCTAAAAGACAGTGCAGTCACTGATTTCAATACCACAACATGTAGCCTAATTAAAGTTAGCCTATACATTATTATTTTTTTTATACTACATATTAGATTTGTTGTGATATTTGATGAATGACTACATGTTAAATTGTATTTTTATTTATAGCCAGGATCAGTTTGTCACCTCTAAAAAGTCTGTCCCTTTTTAACACACCTTCCAAAACAATTGTATACTTTCTGATTTATATTCTATCGGTTTGAAAATGAACTCATTTTTGCAACAGATTTTGGAGGGGAAAGAATGGCCATTTCCACCATTAACTGTTAAAGTCAGCATGAAACTTCCAGTGACTGCTTCTCGAACAAGAAAACAATTTAGGGCGGGAGTCATGCGATTAGTCATTGGGAACTGATTTGATTGGATGGTTGTGGTTTGCTATTGTTGTGATCCCATGTGAGTGACAGGTTGTCCCATCCTTGTGCCAGTAAACTAAGATAAGCTCTGATAAATTATTTATAATAAATACTGCAATATTCCATAAAAAATTGATATAATGGTGACTTTAAGGAATTAGAATAATTTAGATGAAATTGAATTACTGCTCGCCTAGCTGGAAAACTCAAATACGCTATTGAATGTATTTAATAACCTCACTCACCATGTTCTCTCTAACCCTGGTTTGAATAGATCGGCAAAGAAGATCAGAAAAACACGAAAGTATGACATCATCACAACTCCTGCCGAGCGCGTGGAGATGGCACCCTTAAATGAAGAAAACGACGAAGACGACGACTCGACCCTGTTCGATGTCAAATACAGGCGAGTGCTTTACCACAACTTGCATTATGTGCAATGACATGAAATTAGGTCTCTTGTATTTAACATTTGTCCTCTTTTAGTTATTTAATTTGTAGTGCCTTACCTTTGCTTGCTTGTTGATGAAATTGGCATTTTAAAAACAAATTCAAGGGAAGGGGAATAATAGTTCAACTAGTGGAATGTGGGTCTGGCTGGCTCATATTGGATTTCTGTTCAAGTCTGTCTATCAATTACAATCAGTCTTACCAGGAAAACAAGATTCTGTTTCTTTCCTGATGGCTGACAATGCTGTCTGCAGTGAGAACGACAGGGGAATGGTGCTGAAAAATAGGACTTTTGTCTTATTAGAATAAAGTAGACTATTAGCGGAAAAGGTATTCATAAGCTGTGCTTTAACTAACATGGCACACTCCTATATTCTCAATAGTTGTTTATTAACTGTGAATGGTCTTGGTGAGTGACCTCACAGGTCACAATGGAAACAGTTTTGTTATTTGGAGGGTTAGTGAGCATCAAGAGTGGACTTCTCCCTTCCGTCCAATTGTTCTTTGACTGAGAACATGTTTCCTTTTTGCTGGGCATGGCTCCCTGTTTATCAGCTTTTTATTGGCAAATGTGTGAGGCCAACCAGTTTGACAACTTTTATTTCTCATGCTTGAAACTTAATATGCTTTTTAATTTACCTAATCCTCTTATTTAAATTCTTTGCTTACTTATAGGTGAATGAAGAGGTGCACACTGTTGAAGAGTCCCGTATACCCCTGCGTGTGAACACATCTCTACAGGGACCTTTGATTTAATTCATTTCCTCAGAGTCTTGAAACTTCAATGGAACATGGCGACAAATTATATCAAATGTTTCTTGGTGTTTGTATCCGTTCTGACATTCCAAACCAACAAAAAATGAAGTTTTTTGCAAGGAACTTTTCTGTTGGAAGTACATAAAGATAATCAATAGATTGATAAAGAAAGTTTTCTTTGCTCCTAATGAAGGAGGCACTAAAGTTAATCCCCAACAAATCAGTTATTGCTCTAATTATTGCACATTTTTCCTTTACCCCCCCAAAAACATTCATGTTTGGTAGAAAGTCTGTAATTCAATATGCATAATTGCTCTTGAAAGTATGAGGCAGCTTGAACATTACCATCACAGTATATCACATTAAAGCTATTTTAAGTCATTTTTCGGGGGGGAATGTGATCATATACATAATAATAAATAATTGCAATTATTAATTTAAAAACCCTACACATGGAGCTCAAATGTTAGGTTAATTAAAGTTGTTTTACTTTTAAGTGATTTAGCTGAGCTTGAATAAACCCAAAGTTTTTAAATGAAATAAACAAGAAATGCGATGTCATAGTTTGTTTATGCTCCAATACAGATTGTATACTATTATCTGTATATATTGTATGCAAATTATTCATCTGAAATAGTTTATTTTTAGAAAGATATTTTGATTTAATAAGAGTAACATGTTTCAAACATCCCTATATTTAGAGATTTATTAATGTACTAACCACTAATCGTGCATATTTACTGTATAAGTGTTGAATGTATGTCTGAGAGGAGACGCGTCTTGTTGAGTTGGGAGAATACTGTTTCCATGATGCTGCTCTCTGAGGTTGAGGAGTGTTTTTTATAGTCACATGCACACCTACTTTTTTTTATTGAACTGGTTTTTAGAGTGGAACAGTGCAGTGCCACACATAATGAAGGGTTTAAACATATTAAGCTGTTATAGTACTATGCCAGATTTATGTCTTTAACATATCTTAAGGCTACAGTGATATATTATGTGACTTTTCTTTAACTTCAGTGTGACTATCTTATTTTGAAGCTCCTATTAAGATGTTAATGTGAAGGACTATTGTCCAGCATCTAAGGACCAATAAGAAGCTGTTTTTTTTTTTCTGACTCGTCTAAAACCGAAGTCAATTCTCTCTCTCGCTCTCTATTCTGTGTTTATTCTAATTGTTTCCAATTGCCCCAATTTCATACAAATCTGAATATTCATACTTTGAAGTGAAGGAAAGTAATAGGATGCTTAAAGTCTTAAACCTAAACAATTGCTGAAGTGACTGCAAAATAGTTGAGATGAAGTGTTTTTTCTGCACTGTCTAATGTGTTTTTCCCCTTAGCATTCATCATAAATTCAGCACGTCTTAAAATCCATGCTTTAATATTCTCCTGGTTTTGTTTGTTAGTCTAAACACTGGACACAAAAGTTGTTTTATCAACAATCTTTTCAAAACAATTTTTATGTCTAAGCTGAATTGTAAATGTTTGTTTATGAAGAATATCAAATCATAAATGTACTTTTTTTTCATTCATGAGTAAAATAAATCCAAAATGCAATAAAAATCTTAATTAAAAAAAAGGTTTGTCAAATGTGTTGTTTAAAATGTGGGTTTATGGCAAGCCGTTTAACATCTAATACTTAAAACGTACCAGTAGACCTACTTATACTCCATTAGGTAAAAGTACTTTTTCATTCATTCATTCATTATACTAGCTACTAGTGCTAGTACCTTTTTAAAAAGACAATATCGATACAAATTTTTTTTAGATAGGCTTCTAGTAGGCTACTTGTTCATTATTAGCCTAGTACTTATTCAATAGATACCAGTACCTATTACTTGTTCATTAGAAACCAGTACTTATTTTGATAGTGACTAGTAATTAGTATAGTAAATTTAAAGTAGTTCACTTTTGAAAAAAAAAAAAAAAATGCTGATAATTTACTCACCCCCATGTCATCCAAGATGTCATTCTTTCTTCAGTCGAAAAGAAATGAAGGTTTTTGATGAAACATTTCAGCATTTTTGCACTTCAGTGGGAACCAAACGGTTCAAGGTCCAAATGACACTTTCAGTACAAACTGCAAACTGTTCAAAGGGCTTTAAACGACTCCAGACGATGAATAAGGGTCTTATCAAGCGAAACGATCGCTCATTTAATAAATAAATAACAAAGTTTAAGTTTTAAAAGCTCAAATGCTTGCCTTGCTCTGTTCTGTGACGCACGTTTGTAACTCTCCTGTTCGAACTCGGAAAAAAAATTGTTCATTTTGATGAACGAGTTCAAACAGGAGAGTCACAAACGTGCTTCACAGAACAGACCAGACCAAGACAAGTGTCCAAAATAAAATCTTTTAAAAATCATTTCATGTTGGTATAATAGTGTCATTGGGTTCATTCAACGAACGAAACGAACGACTTGACTCGGAAAAAGATTTGTATATTTTGATGAACGAGTTCGAACAGGAGAGTCACAAATCGCTGGAATCGCTGTCAGAACGATTTTTTTCCAGCGGATGAACGATAAAAATATTGACAGCCAATCAGAATCCATTCTGCTTTAAAGAGCTCGCGCATTTCAATCGACAGACGAAGTAAACAGAACTGGTGTGGACCATAGACTGTAAAACAAGGTGTGGACAGTGAGGGAACCGAGGTAATACACCATAACCAGTAACCGGTTATCGTTATAGTTGTCATTAAGTAAACAAGCCTAACTCTAATAATAAAACAAGATGTCTGCATCTATTTTTATAATGGCCCTTTACACATGTTGATACTGATAGCCTAGCAGCTAGCTCTCTTAGTTTTTGTCACTTCATTCACACAAGAAAGAAAAACTTCAAGATGCATTTCAAATCATAGTAAAACATAATATTTTAAAAAAGAATTTTAATAAAACATAAATAAATCATAATAGAACAAGAAAATGGACCACCATTTAGTTTATGTGATTTGTAATCATAAATTAAAAAAAAGTTTGTTTAAATTTAAGTAAGATTTTTTTTTACTCATTTTAAAACTAATATTATGAATAATATGTAAGGATTATTCAATTCAACTTGTCAGAATGTTTACATTAAATAGAAATGCGTAAATAAAAAGGCTAACCAGGAGGCAAACACATTTTGTTCCACACACAACACAATTCTGGCTTTAAAAATTCATTTGAAGGTTTATGTGGAACTTTAGTGTAAATGAGCCTTTCATCCTTTGTGGCTGTTCCCTTCTAAATTAACTTAACAGAATATTGTAAAGTCCCCTTTTGACGGACATAAAAGGGCCTTTTCCCCGTGATAAAGTTTTGCAAAAACAAACGAATCATTCTACGGGTACAGCTACTCCTCACGCGTTGGTTACCCACAAGACCTTAAAACACACCACATTTCCAGAAATAAGCCTAACAAGTCATAACTCCACATATTTCTCATAAAATATTGGCTGAAATACTGTTATGTGGCTCACAGATCATAAATTGTTTCATTTTTACCAGACCGAATTCATCTTGTGGCATCCTGTGCTAAAGTTGTTTTCTACTCAGTTCCTGTCTTTCTTTTTCTTTTAAGTCTAGGACGCTTTATTAACTGAATCACTCTCTTGTAAGTAGCCTCGGCTCAGAGATCCAGCATCAAACCTAATATGCATTTGACTACACAACCACAACCTGTCTCGGTTTTACCAATGAAGACAAAGCATCAGACAAAGCTCCCCGTAAGCATCAGAGCTATTTTTGGTGTAGAGTTAATAAGGTCCTTAACCACACAGGTCATTCAGTAAAAACAGAAACAAAAGGATCCCCCTTTTTCCTCAAAACCAGACACTGTGGTAATCATTAACACATGAAAGCAGGAAACATGGACATCTCTTCCCCTCATCCTCCCAGCTGTGGCCCGCAGTCAGTCGCAGTGTAATTAAGTTTAGTCATATTGGTTACAGACCGTTTCTCTTTCTCTCTCTCTTTTTTTTAAACACAGGGGTGCTTTTACGGATAAATGTCTTCATTATGCCGGATAACCTGCTGACGTCCGCAGTGACACAATTATCTATTTTTAACTTAAATGGAGACATAATAAGAGCAACATGTAGTGCAGTGAATGCTTCATGTCAAAAACACGACAGATCACATGGTTCAGAAGACACGAGAAGCCCCTCTCTGGGTTGGGGGATATATAATATTTCACTCATTTTAATTGACTCCCTCATGAAAAAATGTTTACTTCTATGAAACCGTCCTCTCAGCCTTTCTCAGGCCTCAAAGCACATGTAGCCTAATTCAATTTGTCGCTTGTTTTTGGAAAAATTCGTTTTTTTGAGTCAATAAACAAGTGTCCAAAATAAAATCTTTTAAAAATTCTCTCATGTTGGTTTAATATAGTTGTGAAACAACTTTTGAACAATTTGCCAGGATTACGCCTAAAGTTTAGGTGCGTTTCATATATATTCCTAAAAAATGTTACATCTTGAGACGAAACAATGGCACTGATATATATTAAGATATGCTAGTGCAAGTTGCTTTCAGTTAAAACAGCTTAAACAAGTATTTTAGTCTGGGACTAGACACAATCCTTGTCTGTGGGACCAGGGGAATATGTATTAAATTAATTTAAAAAGTCTAAACGAATGCCATTTGATACCATTAATTAAAAAGTTAAAAGTATTTCTTATAATATTACAATAAATATTAAATTTTTGTGGAGTCGCATCACATGAGATTTTACAACCGGAAGTAACTAACCTTGCATTGTCATAAAATGGTCAAATTAGAAATTTTATGAGACTTGTTGACCTTTATAATCATGAGGGGCTGCAGGAGTTTTTCCTGTGACATCATTTCCTGTTTTCTTTTGTACGTTTCTACAAGTTTTTGCACCACATTAATTGTCAACTTGATGGACAAAAGTTTTCCATGTTTTATTAAAGGGATAGTTCACTTTCGAAATTAATTTTTGGTATGTTTCATCTTACCTCAAGGACATGTCTTTGTTTCCGCAGTAGTTTCAATTTTGATATTTTTAGGTCAAACCGTTCATGCCTATCAGTCATATAATGGAGGTCTATGGTCACCACCTCAAAGAGCATGCACAGAGAAGTCCAAATTAAACATGATTTAATGACTCGTAAATGTAAGATGTTCTAAGACACGAAACGAGCGGTTTGTGTGAGAAAACGAACTGTATTTGTATCGTTTTTACTTCGTTACCAGTACCACAGCCACAAAGCGCCCGCGCCCTCAGATCACTTGGCCGTGGCTGTGGTTACAAGAGGTAAAAATGATATAAATACTGTTTGTTTGTTTTGTGACTTGGTAATGGTAATGTACTCACACACAGTCATTATTACAGTGGCCAGATAAGTACAGCAGTATTTTCTTTACTTATAAGTTATCACAAATACATTCACTTAAACATGTAATATGTGTCACATACAAAAGAAATCCAAAACACCCTCTCAAAACCCTCCTTTGTACAGAAACACTGTTTGAGATCCTAAAACAGATACTATGTGGCTTTAGCAAATTCAAAAGTTTACATACTCAACGTCCCTTCACGGCTGAACGTTCTTGAGTACACACGAGTGTGTGAACAGCTGGGTGTGTGCTGGATTTGGCTCTAGTATCTCAGTGTGTGGCTCCACAGGCTCTGATAGCTGCCTCACTGTGCAAACATGTTCAGGCGCTTGCAGTGCACATGTTCCTCAAGTATTACAGCTCATTAATGCAAACGCTGAAGGTCACAACACTACTCGCTATGTCTTTCTAAGGCAACTTTATCAGCATAACATTTTGTCCTACTTCAGGCACTAAATTATTGTCCAAAGTACTGTCTAAAAGAACGTATGTACTGTAGCAACATAGTGGTAAAACCCCTTTATACGGTTTAAATGTTAATTCTAACTCTAAACTGCAAAAACTTTCTACATTCAGCCACGCCGTCTGTGGGCTTAACAGACACATAGACTGTAAAGGCAACAAATAAATGACATTCCTAATTTAGAATTTCCTTTCCTTTTTTACACAAATTGTCCCAAAAGACTAAGGCTGTAGACCCATTTTATAACTATGCTCCCATCTTGTGGCCAAATATGGTATACAACTAAATCTGAAATCTAAATGAATTATGTAAATAAAAAAAAAAACATGGGATATGAAAAAATAAAACACCCTTAACATACATAAAAGAGCCTTACTTGGGGATTAAAAACCTTCTTAAGGTTAAACACGCAAGAAACCCTTGCTCCGAGTCCGTTCATATATTGCATTCTCAAATTTGGTCAGAGATTTACCTGGAGTATTCAGGTAATCCAGATTTTTTCACAGCATTTCTTTCTCCAAGCAGGTCCAGAGTATAAAACCATTTTGACAGGGACTGTAAAAACTCATGTTGGCAGTTCACATGGTCCCGTGTGCAGCCGCAGCGCCCCCTGTCTGTGAAGAGCACTTAAGGTTCGAAATTCCAAAGGCATTGTGTGCGGACTGGCTCTAGATGTGTAGTGGTAAGTTAGAGTGTCGTAGTAGTGATACTTGACCGGTTTGCCGTCAGGGCCATGAGCGAAAGGCCAGAAGCCGTACAGGTGGATCTCATCACAAAAGCGTGTGGCCATGGTGTACATCAGGAGTCCGGTGGTGGGCCTTTTGATCTGGACGTGATTCGTCAACCAGTACCTGCAAGAAAGTCAGTGGATAATAAACTTTATGAAGTTTATTCTTTTTTACAATATTCTCTGTTATACTCGTAGATCAATTACATTGTTAAAATCTTCAGAAAACCAAGAAAATCAGACACTACTGATCAAAAATACAGCTAATACAGTAATAGTGTGAAATATTATTTCAATAAAAACACATTTTAATATATTTTAGAATATAATTTATCCCTGTGATGGCAAAGTTGAAATTCTAGCATTACTAGTTTTCAGTGTCACATGATCCTTCAGAAATCATTCTGATATGTTTAGCTGTCCAAGAAACATTTATTATTATCAATGTTGAAAACAGTTGTGTAATATTTTTGTCGAAATTTGAAATATTATTCAAGATAATATTATTCGAGTCTTCCCTGTCACTATCAATTAAATTTGTCCTGCGAGAATAATAATTATTTAAAACTTTTGAACAGTAGTACTTTACAGTAGTTTTAAAAGAGGGTACATTTACATGACAATGATGTACTAAAAACAGAAAACCTTTTCCACATACAAATGTTGTAAAAACAATCCCCGTTCACAAGAATCCGTGAAAACGACTGAAAACGCTGTATTCTGATGCCAGGCCAGTGGTTGTTGATGCCACTTTGTAAAGAAGCACTACACGCCAACAGACTGAACATATAATATGCATGATGTGCATGACTTCACCGCTTTCACAAATTCATATTTTTGTAGTTTACGCTGAGACGATAACAGTATCGTTTTCATAAGTTTGCATTTTCAGGCCCCAAAACCGCTGTTGTCGCAGCCAAAACAACACTATTTTCAACTAAAAATGGAAAATTGTGTGTGTAAACGTCACTTGTACCGCAAAAAAAACAGGAACACCTCAGCTGCATTTAAGCTAAATCCCCCTTTTTTAAAAACTCATGCCCCACCCACATCCAAACCTGAGGGTGCAGCTCTTCCACGTTTAAAAGCAGGAGATCAGACAATTGAACAATGTCCATTAAGACGCACTGAACCCTCTCCAGTCCACTCACCCCTGAATAACCCTGAATAGGGCTCACTCTGTGCATCTGTGAAGTGCCATTCATTCAGGACGGCTGTAGAAAAGGGGAGTCTGGAGAAAAGGAGTTTCAAATAACAAAGGGGTTTGGGATCCCCTTTTTAAAGCTACCTACGGACTTTGTACTTTAGGGCTGAGTACAAATGCCTTTGTTTTCATTCATCTGGATTTGAAAGGATACTCCACCGTTTTTTCATATTAAATGTTATTCCCTTAACTAAGACGAGTTGATGCATACCTCTCAGGCCCCCACACTACTGCGTTTTCGTTTAAAGAGCACCTATCATGGATTTTTGAAAATGACTCTTCATGTAGTGTGGAATATAGCTCTAAGGGAATGAAAACATCCTGTAAAGATTTAGATCTGAAAGTGCACCCTATATAAAGTTACTGTCTTTCAAATGTGAGAGTCGACTCTGAGTCTATGAAATAAATTGTTTTTGAAACGAGTCATTAGCTGTTACGTCGTGACGTAGAGAGGTCATTGGCCGCTCCCAACAACTGCGCGTGCAGACTTGAAGTGACGTCTAGAACACATTCAAATACTTCAGCTGAATCGCATCATGTCGAGAAGACATTGCAAAGACAGTTCAGCCCCTTGTTTCCATTGGCCAGGGACGAGCATGTGAAGAATCAGTGGTCAGAGTTCATAACGCCCGAACCTTGTGTTCTCATCATTGTAATGACGAATCATTCAAAATTCAAAAACCTAAATGAATTCAAATGTGGATTCGCAAGCTGGTTCCTGAAGGAGGGCTCAGTATCCAGTGTATATGGATCAGGTTCGTCCTCCTTCGAATCACAATCTGTAAGTATTATTAATAATGTTTGCTGTTATGTTTTCTGTAGCATGCACAATATAGTTAAATTGTGTTGTGTGTGCTGTGTACACTCAGCGCAGCTTCTAAGCGGGGTAAAGTTAGTTTTGTTTTTGATATTCCCCAGACATTCATTGAAAAATGGCAATTACCTCCAAAACGACTTCGCTCTATATAATAAGCACTGCCCTTCAAAAGCCGCCGCAATGTGAGATTTGCCGGGAAAGCTCGCTCTTGACGGAGACGCGAGTAAGGGACCGTGTGAAAAATGCACTTTTTCTGACACGTTTGTTCAAACACTATATACAATTTTCAACACTTGACAAGCTATAATCCTGGTTATGGGCGTTCCGTTGCCGACAGTCTCTGCCTACGGTTTAGCAATAACAACTGACTGGGTCATTTGACCAATCGCCGCAGTTTAGCGTCACTCAAAGGAGGTGTTTGGGAAAATAAATCGTCGAACGAATCATTTGGGAGTCGTTGAGCAAATCAGTTAAAAATAAATGCATATTATAAGACAATTAAAGTGTTTTTTATCCTTGCATGCACGTTAAACACGTTAACTCAAAATTAGGAACATTTCAAATGCTATGATAGGGAGTCTTTAAAAAAGGGAGACCTTTTGCTACGTTTGCACCTCCCGTCCCGTGGAGGTGTTTGGTCGCTTCTCTGCTTGGCCCATATTGAATGAACTGGGCTAATTAAGTGCTATCAAAGTGTCTCGCGTGCCAGAGACGAGAGAGGTATGTATCAACTCGTCTTAGTTAAGGGAATACCAGTTTAATATTAAAAAAAGAGTATCCCTTTAAGAGCAGTTTACAAAACACTATTTTTTGACTAGAAACGAAAAACTTTGAGATTTGGCCACTCATTTACATAGCAGCATTTTGAGGGCCTGAAAACACAAACTTTTGAAACAAACTTGGGCAAATTTTGAAAACAATACCGTTATCTCCATGCAAGCTACAAAAACACGAATGTGTGAAAATGGTGACGTCACGTCACGTGCATGATCGTTTTCACAACATTGTCATCTGTACACGTAAAACTGTACACATTACTGTCATGTAAACATACACTAAATTTCAATGCAATAACTCCAGATAACAGCGGCAACAAACATGATTTTAAAAAAAATAAAAAATCCAGCACCTGATCGGCTCTTATTTACCCCAAACGAATGAAATGAACACTCTGCTATAATCAACAGAAGATGTTTCCTTTGTATTAGGTACATCCGTGCCGTGAGATGTTTCAAAAAGTGGTGGGGACAATATCGACACCATCAAAAAGTAACATGCTGAAAAAGCCTGAGAACTTTCACTGAAAACTTGGTCGTATAAACTAGATTCTAATTCAAAATGACATGAGGGCGAGTAAATGATGGAATTTTTGTTTTTGGAAGAACTATTCCTTTACAAATACACTTCTTTTTTTAATCGTTTGAACAACTACAACATATTGTTTATGGCATGTTTTCCTCAATACACCACCCACTTAACAGCTGTCTCTTACTTGACCTTTAATCTGGCCCACAGATGGATCTCTAACAAGACCTCCTCGGCTCGGTGGTAGCCACGATGGTGGGTTCAGACACTACTCTCAGGGAGGGCTGAATGACAGTCTCGAAATATGCAGAGGTCAATGGAGGAGGCAAAGGTTGAGCTATTTAAAAACAACCGACTACAATTGAGCCCAGAGGGGCTAGAATTTGTTGAGCGAACTAACAAAAGACCTTCTGTAATATATAGATGCCTGTTAGATATATAGATGCCTGTGTGCACTTAGTGTGCGTCCTCATCCATTTACAGAAACAGTCTGTGGTCGTGGAGCAAGATGTGAAGTATTGATGTCTGAACTATAAATAGCGAGAGACTTGATACACCTGCTTTAGCCAGCATGGATTGGAGTAGTCTTAAAGGGATAGTTCTCTCAAATGAAACGTCTGTGATTAATTACTCACCCTCATGTCGTTCCAAAGCCATAAGACTTTAGTTCATGTTTAGAACACAAATGAAGATCTTTTTGATGAAATCTGAGAGATTTTTGTTCCTCCATTGACACCCACGCAACTACCACTGTGACGCTTCAAAAAGTGTTTATTTATTTATTCATTTATTTGACATTAATTTAAAAATTTTGCTCCACATCTTGTCTTTTAATAGAAAAACACATTGCAACAGTTTTAGTTGAATTTAGTACCGACTGCTTTTGAATGAGCCATTTACTGACCTCCGCCATACAAGTGGTCAAAACCTCCGGTGACTTAGCGGGTGCATAAAAACAGCATCATCCGCATAAAGTTGGCAGTTTACATCTGGACAGATTTGTGGCAAATCATTTATAAAAAGGCTAAACATCAAAGGTCCCAGCATAGAGCCCTGTGGTATACCCCTTTGAATGGATAAGAGTGGTGACTTGTCCTGACCAGCTTTAACACACTGTTGTCTGTCCTGAAGATAAGATGTAAACCAGCTAACTGTCTCAACAGAGAAGTTAAAGGATGTCATCTTGGATAGTAGTAGGCTATAATTGACTGTTTCGAAAGCCTTTTTTAGATCTAAAAACACAGCTCCTACCACCTGACTCCTGTCCATGGACTGTTTTAGATTTTCAATCAAACAGCCGTTTGCAATTTCGGTTGAATAACCTAGTCTAAAACCAAACAGCTGATTGGTTTCCAAGCAGTCAATCAATTATGTAGCTACTACTTTCTCAAGTACTTTTGATAAAACAGGCAAAATGGATATAATTGCACATACTACTGCTTTGAATATTGTGTAAAACAAATCCATATGAATTGAGCGGTTTAGTCCAAATATTCTCAAGAGTCTTGTTCGCTTTATATGATGAACAGATTTAATTTAGGCTTTTATTCACATAAATATCCATCAACTCACACATCAGTTGTGGTAAACGGAAGTTCAAGCATGTTTGCTTGACGTTACAATTATCAATGTTTATTTGTGAATAAAAGGCTTAATTCAATCGGTTTACAATAAAGTGATCGAGTCTCTTCAGAAAATTTGGACTCAACCTATCTATGCATATAGATTAGTTTTGAAAACTCTTAATGTACTTTTTAAAGCATCAAACTGGTTGTTGTGCAGCTGTCCTTGGAGGGAAAGAAAGTTCTCAGATCTCATCAAAAAATCTTCACAATCTTATGGGTTTTCAATGACATTAGAGTGAGAAATTAATGACAGAATTTAAATTTCTGGATGAACCAACCCTTTAAATGCAAGTGCACGTACCCTCTGACAGCATGGAGCAGGCGCAGGGAGGGGAAGGCGGTGCGGACGTTCATGGTGTGCAGAAGAATGAGGCGGATGACCCACTGCACTCGCTCCTCTCCTCCTTTAGCCATGAAGGCAGGGATCCACAGCACACTCCCATTGAGGCTCTGCAGCCTGTGGACGAAGCGCTGCACCCACTCCTCACTGTTCAGGTCCTGAAAGGCACGCTGGACCACAGAAGGGTTCATGGTCACCAGACTGGTGCGCAAGCCCACATCAGCAGAATACTCCTCCACAGGAGCCAGGTTGCACCTTGAAAATGGACACACACATACAGTATACATATGGTTAAGTCACAATCTCAGGTTAGGCTGGTCACCATGCATGGACCTGCACATTACAACCCCCAAAAGTTCAATATTTAAACAGTGTATAACATGTTATGTTAAAAACATATTAGAATAAATAACAAGAATCAACACCCATGGCTGTATGAATCTATTGGCAATTTGGCAGTGACAAAGTTCGTGTTTGCTGCTTCAGTGTTTATAGTAGGGCTGTCAAACGATTAATCGCATCCAAAATAAAAGTTTGTGTTTACATAATATATGTGGGTGCACTGTATATATATATATATATATATATATATATATATATATATATGTATATATACACACACACATGCATGTATATTTACGAAAAAAAATATTATTTATATATAAAATATTTATAATATAAATTATATATAAATCTATATACAGTATATAATGAAAATATTTCTTAAATATATACAAGCATGTATATATATATATGTATTATATATTGCATGTATTATATATATATATATATATATATAATTATCCACAGTGCACCCACATATCTGGGATTTATAGGAAAATTTCTAGTTAATTATCTGAACCACTGCATTTTCACTCTTGCCTTGAGGCACAGTGCTCCATCATACTGGAAAATGCACGGATCATCACCAAATGGCTCCTGGGTCATTAGAAGTTGATACCATTCTTTATTCATGATAGTGTGATTGGGCAGACCCACACGTGGATGGTCTCAGGATGCACGACACAGGTCTCGTGGTAGCATTCACCTTGTCTTCTCCGGACCATTGATCTTCATGATGCACCATTATATTTTCTGCTTTCTAACCCATGTACCTCCAGTAGAATTTCAGTCTGTCCTTGATGTTTTTCACGGAAAAAAAGTGACTTGACACCAGGTCATTGTCCAAAAGTCTTGGCCTCTCTGTGTGTGCAGAAGCATGACACACACCTGCAGCTGACATTGAGCAGCCCTGCATTTGTGGTGACACGGTACCATAGCTCTCCTCGAAGTTCTTGATGATCTGGTAAATGGCTATTTTTGCTGTGTGCAACATTCAATTCCCTTGCATGTGAGGCCATTTTGATGCAGAGATGACGGCTGTGTGTATTTCTTTGGAGGCAACCACAAGAACACAATGACTGAAAGCAGTCAGCTGATCAGAACAATGCAGCGATTTCACCTCATTAGTACTTTTTCCACACTTTCCCATGTGCTGATGAGATTTGTGAAATGATAGAGAGTCATTTTGTGCCAGTGCAATTATTTATAATGCATCTGATTATAATGTAGAAATAATAATCTAGAAACAGTTTGAATTATCACCTCAACAAGTGAAGCAGCAAACTCTGCAAAACAATGTGCCACAGTATCAAGAGTGACACTTAACAAATCGACATATAAAGAGCAAAAATCTAAGCATGAGTAAATTACCTTCACTCCAGACTTACTTCATTTTAAAACAAGTAATTTATCTTACTATAAAATACAGCATAATATTACACTCTGCATTAGTCATACATGCAGAATCCTCCAAAAGACCAAGCAAGCACCTTTTAGAGCTCATCCTATCATTTAACTTTAAAAAAAAAAAAAAAAAACAGAGGTGACTTTAAAGCAAATACCAAGCAGGGTGCTGGCATTATCATCTTGCCACAATACCTGGAAAAACCTTTCAGCACTGGCACCATGCCGACTGCTGAGGCTTAGCTGCACAGTCACACTCCCACACAGCTTTGTCCTTGCCCAGTGGAACAGCCATGCCAACCACACAAGAAGGATTTAAGTTCCTACATTACCTAATCTTCGAGGCTCTATATGTGCCTGGACTGTGGCTGAATGACATTAATGTCATACGAGCACATCTGGGCTGATGAGACTCACTTAGGATTGAAAATGTCACAGTATTACACTACTGTAGGCATCACATGAAGCACACTTGCTGGTATTTTAAGCAAGCAGCTTTTGGCCATAAGCAGAACATTTTACAGACAAGTGAACTTTAGTCACTTTCAGAAGACAGCCTAATTACGTTTCCAAGGCTATGGCTTAGTATGACTTGTAGAAATGTCATATTTGCTCAGCTGGTCACAAATTGCAGTATGCACCACACATCCGTTCTGAAAGCCTTCAGACATTGTGAGTCAAGCCTGGAATAGCCTGGAATCAAGATATTTCAAAAGTGCATTTAATTATATACAGATCCACAAGCTGTTTTAAATCCAAACAGCATTGGTTCTCAAATGTGGAGGGGGATAGTGTACAGTCAGCACAGCAGCATTGTTATGCAAAAGAAACCTCTTCAAGTTGATTGAAGACCACGTTGCTAAATTATCCCGCTTATTATGTTGTGTGGCTACCTGTAACAAGTAAATAATTGAGCAAAATATTAATTTGACATTTTATTACCTCAAGATTACTTGAGACACCCGCTTGAAGCAGTTGTTGTTGTGGAATAACAGACCGCTAAAGGGCACGATTGAAGAATCAGAATTGATTATTGCAGGGAGCCGTGCAAAAAATAATGATTCATTTCAAGTTTGTGAAAGGACTGCCAGTGCCAGGTAAACGTAAAGCAATGATAAATTTACTTAGAGCCAGGCCGATATTATCGGCCAATATTAGGCATTTTCCAAACTATCGGTATCGGCTGTTATAATGGCCGATAAATCTTTCAAAAATAAAATAAAAACAGACGAAACACGCTTCAACCATGTCATGAGTGTTGGAGTTGTATAGTTTGTCCACCAGAGGGCACTCTACACCGTCCCTGTTGGGAACACTCGTTGAGTTGGTGACGAGACATACATTACTTGAATAACAATTAAAAGAACATTTCCATCAGTTCTCTTAACTCAAATAAGCATGACAAAATTTGTGACTATCATGTCCAGTTTGGCTGCTGTTAAATAAGCCGAGAGTGAAGCAGAATTAGCTAGTAATAGTTACGTTACGTTGTTACAGTGTAGTTGACTGACTGTCCTTTTAACTTTTAACAATGTGACTGAAGTATTTCTTTAATAGGGCGTGACAGTTATAGCAATGAGACGCATCATCTCTCGCTGGCCTGTTTTATTGAAAATATATGTTTTACAATTTGCAGTATGACGTTATCCATTGCTAAATTATGGCTCATAGACTAGCTAACCACAAAGCTAGCTAATGCCACTACCATCAGTCTGTTCTGTTGTGACGATAAAAGAAACAAGTTTCTTTTTAAAATGCATGAACATATTATTTTAGTTAAAACTCATAAATAACTACAAATAATAATGTTAGGGAAATCTGTTAATGTTTTGTTGCGTGTTTCTGAAATTGAAAAAATAAATAAAACAATATCGGCCGATATATCGGATTTTAAAACCAACAAATATTTGTATCGGTATCGACCTTCAAAATCCTTTATCGGTCGGGCTCTAGATGAATCTACTTTAAACATCACAACTACACATCTTCACCAGACCCATTATAAACAGTATTGCTGTCTACACTGAATTTGGAAATTCCGACAGTAAAAGGTTGCCTCGGTCCATTTCTGACGTACTCCAAGGCAAGAAAATATGATGAGGCATATCTCACCCTCGGATTTACCAGTACAACAGATAATAAAGAAAGATCACAGTGTGTTGTGTGCCTCAAAATGGAGTAATTACTTCTTTTATAAAAAAGCTCTATATTGCTAATGCTAGTTATGACATAATTATTCTTTACAGCTAGTTTAAGGTTGGTTTGTTGTTTGATTCCGGATGAAAACACTTACTAACTAGCTAAGTTAAATCACAGGTTGTCAACAGATGTTGAATGTGACAGAAAACAGATGTTTACCTGATGACAAAGTCATGTGAATCAATCTCTCTGCCGCAGCTGCTATTCAGTAATATCCCAGAGTTCCCTACGATGGCACATTGTTTGTAATGCTGGTTCTTCATGGGGGACACGGTCGGCAACAGTTGGTAGAGGTTCTCAGAGATGTTTGTGGTGCTCTGGCGGTCAAATATATAGTGAATTACATCTCCCGGTTTAAAGGTGCTCTTAAGAATTGAGATGTCCCTCTCAGCATCCAGGAACCTCAAAATGTTTTTCCTGGAGGGAAAGTGAAAAAAATCATAAAGCTTTATGAGTGCTGAGGAAAAGACTATAGAAGTTTTAATGGAAACACTTTATACATTCTTCAGAAGCGCCATACTGGGCATTTGAAAAACATCGAGCCTTACCTGATGAGGTTAGACAGGGTTCTGTTGAAAGTCCATTCAGGTGATGATGAATTGCGGGTTTTGCTTTTTATTCCTGGCAGTGGAATTGGAGAGGAGACTTTGCTCTTTCTATAGGTAACTAGAGAAGTAGGGACAGCACTCAGGACTGAATTTCTGAAGAAAAGAAAGATCATAACAGTGTGTTTACATGCACTTACCATAAATCAGAATTAGCAATTTAGACAAGGCCACAAATATAACATCTGATGTGTTTTGGTAAACCATGAAATGAATTCTCAAAACCAAGATGAAACAGTAATGCAGAACAAACAAACAGATCTTGAGAACTGATAGTTTTAGTAATTTAATAAGATTTAAAGAAACAGAAATGTCTTAAATGTCATGCATTAGTTTTAGAGGGCTAAAACAAAGCAGACGTAAATATTCGGTTGGAAGCAACAATGACATTTTCTCTGGAAACATAAATCATAAACGATATAACAAATCAGATTACAAACCTGTCGGACTGAAAGACAAAGCTTTTTAAGTGAAATCTCTGTGAATCCTCAATGTTCCTAAAAGCAGAAGGCAGAAAATATTCATCTTCTTTATCCAGTAATATGACCATTAATAAAGCTCTGAAATCACATCAGTGAGTAGATAATTGAGATGGAGGCAATTAGACATCAGACTGGAACAAATACGCAAAATTCAATTGGGATGATGATCATTATTATTTAGCACCTTTATGCGAACCATTCCACTTATATCAACTCTTTAGAATATTTTCATGGTGCAAATCCAAGGACATGGCTAGTATGTTTTAAATGAGTAGTTCACTTTAAAAAAAACCTTTGCTGATAATTTACTCACCCCCATGTCATCCAAGATGTCCATGTCTGTCTTTCTTCAGTCGAAAAGAAATTAAGGTTTTCGATGAAAACATTCCAGGATTTTCTCAATATAATGGACTTCAATGGGAACCAAATGGTTCAAGGTCCAAATGAGAGTTTCAGTGCAGCTTCAAAGGGCTTTAAACGACACCAGACGATGAATAAGGGTCTTATCTAGCGAAACGAGACGTCATTTAAAAAATAAATAACAAAGTTTAACTTTTATAAGCACAAATGCTTGCCTTGCTCTGTTCTGTGAGAGCGTTCTGACTTTCCTGTTCAAACTCGTTCATCAAAATGAACAAATCTTTTTTTGAGTCATGACACGAAGGGTCCTAGATAAGATTCATCGTCTGGTGTCGTTTAAAGCCCTTTGAAGCTGCACTGAAACTCCCATTTGGACCTTGAACCGTTTGGTTCCCAATGAAGTCCATTATATGGAGAAAATCCTGGAATGTTTTCATCAAAAACCTTAATTTCTTTTCGACTGAAAAGAAATTACATGGGGGTGAGTAAATTGGGTGACATGGGGATGAGTAAATTATCAGCAAAAGTTTTTTTTAAAAGTGAACTACTCCTTTAACCCGTATTATTTATTAATCATTTCATCAACTCATTACAACAATTATTTCAGCCATTACTGGCACAGAGGATGTTTAGAAGGAAGATTTACTACAACAACCAAAAGGAATTTCTTGAAACTGTTTGAGGTGGTCAGATACATGTAAACAAATATGTTGGTCATTGTGAACTCATTCTTGGAGAAATCACATTAACATAACGGCAAGGACAATAGCCATTCACATACCTACTGGGTGACAATTGAAAACATTTAGGGCAGGATTGCATTGCATCTTTGAGCAAATCAGATTTGTCTACCATTCACTGCAATGTTCTCCATCTTTCCCCCAAAGTCATGGCTACGTGCATTATTAAGCAGACAGAGCACCAATCTCTTAAAATTCTGGGGAGCAGCTTCAAATGCAGATTTAATGGTGGTGTTGCATCAAAGCACTTATAATTGTTCTGAGAGATAGCCCTCAGATCCCTTGCATGCTACTGCAATTCAGAATATAATTCCATAAATTATCAATACCAATAACTTAAGCAAAAAATAGATCATACGTGTCATTTAATGCCATCTGACAGCTAGTAAACGAGGTGTGAAATTTCCAAATTGGGATTTGTCTCAGGGATATAGTGGGTTAGCAAATATGAGGGAGAAAATATACCCTTTGCATGCTTAATGGATAAACTGTAATTAGTGCGGCAGAAACATGAAATAAAATATCATACAGAGCAAACGAGCCAAATGCTTTGCATAAAACGCCAAATAGCAACTCAAAGTATCTATTTAAAAATGAATGACTAAATGCATGTCTTGGCAGCACACACTTCTTGTTTTCTCGTGCAATTATTCTTGTAATTAATCCATCAATGCACAAACATTCTTCTCACTCAAGAGCTTTAAAGTGTATGTCCCGAGACAGCAAGATTTGCAATTATGTAAGCCTGAGGATTTCTGCCACAGGGTTCAATCACAGCGGAGGAAGGGCATACTGTTCATTTTTGTCTCCAAACCTAAACTGTAGCTTCAAAGGCACAAATCAAACAGTAATCCTCTAGATGCCACAAACCACAGATCAGACCGTCTTTTCACTTGCATGAATGGGTGCAAACAGAACACACTCAAGAGTAGAACAAAACCACAGACCAACAGCCATCCGTCACAGAGCAGCAGGGTCAGCTGCATTTATCTTATGACTCTCATACAAGCTTTCACACTCAGCAAAAGTCTGAACGACACATTTTGGAGATCAGCCAAGAATATATCTTCATTTGCATTCCAAATATGAACGAACGTCTTGTGTCCAAACTCCGTCCTGGAGGGCCACGGTCCAACTCACCTGAAAGTTTCTAGCTTAATTAACTACTTCAGTTGTGTGAAGGACAGTGGTTTTCCAGGAGCAGGATTGGACACCCGTATCTTATGAGTTTGGAACAACAATGGGAGGTTGAACATCTTATTTTGGGTGAACTAACCATTTAAAGGCTTTAAAATATCAAACATTCCCTCCAGAATGTGCAGAATCTTCTATCAAATCGATGTGATATCAAACACGTGAGGTGTTCCCTCAAATTAAAGTCCCACATGCGCAGACTGTGGCTTTGCAAACAATAGTCGTCGGGACAACACATTGTCTCCCTCCTTTGACTTAAACACAGTATTACACTGTTGGATGAAAGACCAAGCCAATCCTGCTGGAAAATACAGTTTAAAATGTATAGTTTGTGTTTTGGAACGTTCCAGCTGGTCTAAGCTGGTTGTTTGCTGGGCCAAAGTGGTTATTAACTGGTCCAAGCCAATCATTAGCAGGTCCAAGGTGGTCATTAAGTTGGCCCGATGTGCAAATCATCTCAGACTAGCAACAAATCAGCTCTTGTAGGGTGGTCATGGCTGGTTTTTGGAATACGGTGGCTGGTCAGATTACTAGGGTTTTCAAACTGGGGTCCAGGGACCCTCCGGGGGACACAAGACAGTGCTAGCTAGGGGTTCTTTGGATATGTTAAAAAAATAATAGAAAAAGTACAAGTACAAAAGGTACATATTTATTAATTCTTTTGAATTAAAATAAATTAAAAACGTGATTTCAATAAATACAAAATTATTAAAATAAATACAAATGTTTGTTTAAATACACACAAATATGAGGACAATATAGCGAGTAGCCTTGAGGAGGGGAAAAACCTGGCATAGACTACCTAATGACCAACTAAACCATTCTTTTCCAAAAAACAAAAACAAACCCTGATTTTTCCAAACACATAGGCTACGCAAAATAATTAGGTAGATAAAATACACAGTTATTTTCTATTTTCTCGTTTATAGACCAAGCCAAGCCCGAAGTCCTAAATGGACTGTCCATTGTTTGGGCTTCTACAAAGTCTCTCGTGAGAGAATCAAAGCACGGTGGACATGGGTCCTAAACAAAAACATCACATTATAGGGTAAACATAGACAGAGTACAGCTGTGCATTATAAAAAATGTAGAAAGACAGAAAAAAGAGAATGTTATATTAAGGCTAACTGTATTGTAGGTTAATCAAATTTAAGGCTACTTACGCGATTTCTTCCTCCACTTCCGATATATCAGATATAATAACAAATATAACCAGGGCTGTCCCGATTCCAAACATCAGTATTCGGAATTCAAAAGACATGACTCGACCGGCGTGCGATTCTACAAATGCGTTGAACTATAAGGCGCAATAGAAATCTGTTCTTCTTCCACACTGGGTTCTTAAGCAGGGCAACACATGTAATGTTCCTCCGTCTCTCCGTCTCCTGTCCTCGACAAAGCTGGACCCATTTCTGATAGTCCGTGCAGGTTAACGAACAGTTGTCTGCATTAAATCGGCTATCACGTCCATCAAATTCTTCCACCTACGAAAGTAATACGGCAAACGTGAACGTCCTTTCTTCTCTTCTACTCCTACCGCTACTCGGAGATCTGGCTGGTGGCAGTTCCCTTGAAACTTTGCCTGCAAGGTGCATAAACTCACATATTATGTTATGCATTCAGATCAACTGCGTTCTTGGTAGGCTATAGAGGCAGAGGCGTGTATTTAAAATTGAATATGAAATTTGAATCCAGCTCTCTGTCTTGCTCTCTTTGTTTCTATTTGACAAAGACACGCGTTTGGTTTTCTACGGTGAGGACTTTCTATTGACTCATTGGTATTATAATGGTTATGGTTATATTATAACAACATCTAATACTACAAGCGTGTCCTCCTAACCAGGTGCGACGCGACAGGGTTAAGGTATTTGCCTGTCCACAATGAACCCGATACAGCTGCACGACGCGACATAATCAATCACAATCACAGCCAATCAGAAACGTTCTCTCCGTTTGAACGCTCTCTCACGCGGCACAACATCAACGACTTTCATTTTATGGTTTACTTTTTGGAACTTTGTCAAATATAATATACAATATTTCTCAACAGCCTAATTATCTTATTCGTGTTTGAGTTTTAAAGTCACCATGAAATCTTAGGCATGGGATATTGCGGTAGGCTATCTGTGAAGATCATATTATTATTTTTAATTTATGTGCCCTCTTAATGTTCAATCAAAATAGCTTCCCCTCCTTCTTGCAAAAAAAAAAAACATCTCTTTTCTTCACTGATGTGTTTACAGATGTGATGGCGGAATAACCTGTCAATCACAGCAATTGCCTAGAAAACGACAATGATCTAACGATCCAATCCAAAAACCAAGTCCTGCCCAAAATTATTGTCTCACAAATTATTGTGAGACATAGCCTATATGGAAAATAATTCCACTCTCATATATGTCAAAATAGGGAAGAAAAGTCTATCAAAAGACTATTCTGTTTCATGCTGTCTAGAGCGGTAATTTGGTCCAATGAGAATTTCATGTGGGCCAGCGGCACAGCGGCACACACATGGTCTTTTGACCATACGTCAACATCCGCCTTTTTAGGGAACCCTTAAACGTCGGTTATATGACGTTATCGGATTCCTAACCCTACCCCAGACCTAAACCTACCCCTAAACCTAACCTAACCGTCGTTAAAGGTAAAGCGTCAGTTGTATGGCCCGGGATCGTGATTAGCCTACATGGCGGCCCGGGATCGTCATGTAACCGACATTTACGGGTAGGCCTACCGCGCAATTGAAAATAGACCAGCGAAATTCTACCGTTTTTGCTAATGTGACCACATTCTAACAGTTTTGCATAAAGCCTCTGAGACCTCTTTAACCGTATCCATTAAAAAAAATATGGTGGATTTTGCTGTATATTTATATGGACACAGTAAGAGCAATATCTGAGCATCGCCTGTCATAGCTGGTTAGAAAACTAATTTACTTACTGGAGGTCACAATGTCACTGTGCTAATGCGGTTTTGCTTTCATTGTGAGGCCATTTGGTCATTTAACCCCGACTACAGCACACACACACACACACACTGACAAAAGCACCTGCTGCTTCAGCCAACAGTCCTTTCATCCCAGATTTAGATCGTCTGATTTAATTGGAAGGTTGTAATTTTTTTTTTTTTTTTTTTGCCAGCTGGATATTTCAGTGATCTACAACCCTAACACAATTAGGCAGCATAATTGTTTTATAGCTAAGATTTTACAGGAAGTATTCAAACTGAATGTGCACCCAGAAGATATAAAAAAACGGACTAAAGTTTACTTATGAGAAGAACGTGGATGACAGTTTTCACCATCTTCCATTCTCAGGAATACACTGACGCATCATTTCTAAACCCACAAACAATGAAGCTTCTAGCACTGTGAAAGGTTTATGTTTGTATCACTGTTTCCTGCCAGGTCTAACTCCCTCAATGCTTATGAAAATATGCTTCTTGTGTAGGCCAGTGTTAGTATTAGGTAATACTGATATAACAGTAAAGTGAGACACTGTGGGATGTATATTCTATTTATTATGATGCATGATTCAAATATGCATTCATTTATGATTCGAAAATGCATCATACATCACTGTCATCCAATGTATATTTAGGGTGAACCTAATACCGTTTTTACACATAATGATGGAAGAGTAAACTGAAAAGGCTGTATTCAGTCTATTAACTGATGTCAGTTATCTCCAGTACCATTTTTCATCATAGATAGATAGATAGATAGATAGATAGATAGACATGTTCAGTGTGTGCCAGAGATGACCTAGAAATGGTGATATCCGTGGAGAAAAGAGTAAGGAAAGGGAAAAGGGGGTCATCTTTCTGCCATAGTTTTAATTTGTCCTCACAATTGCTTCGTAGGGAGTCTGCATGCATGATGTGTTGTGAAAACCTAACATTTTGCTTATTATGTGTAATATGTCATATCTGTCAGTGAAAATGCTAGTGAAGTGAAAGAGATTTTTATAGGTTATAAGTCAAATTTTATTTAACTGTCTTAAAAGGTAACTTTTTAAAATTGTTTGTAGGTCTATTTCCCCCCATCTATGTTCTTGAAGCAGTCGGAGAGTCAGCAGAGCTGCCTGGAAATAAATGAGCAACATTTCATGTCAGTGAGTCACAGCAGTTCTTGAATGCCTTGAGCCGATATAATTCATCTGCTGCAACTTTAAGGTGGAAAATAATGCCCATATTCCATCAGCTCAGTGTGCCATTGCACCGGACCGAGCTTAGCTCCACATGCAACGTGTATATGAAGTTATCCAATGGAAAATGACCATGCTCCATATCCAATCTGCTTCTAAGGATTTCATGAAGGCAAGTAATGGTTTTTTTGTAATGCTTTTAAATAATCTCCCCCTGCCTTCACACACAAACTGTTCAACGCTACGCCACAGGGAAGGAAAATACTTTTAGAATTTAATTTATGTAAGATGGTATTTTGAAACAAAAATGTTTTCTGGTGTTTTCTTCACCAGAAAAATCTCTTCGTTAGACTTTCTGCAGCGATTTGTGTAATTGCACAATAAGGTGACATTGGTTAAGATGTTAGATTAGCTAACATGAACTAACACAATCAAAACGATTTTTTGGTATTTATTAGGCTATATAGTTCATGAAAATTTCCACATTTGATAATACGTTACTAAAATTAAAAGTTGTATCAACATTAGCTTATGGATTTGAGCTCACATGAACTAATGTGAATAGTTGTCTCAGAAGCTGAAGCGCCAGCGAAACGGGCGTTAAACTCTTTAAAGTTTTGTGTTTGAACTTCCGTTTTTGCGGTATGTATTTTTCTATTGCATCTCGAGGAATAATTAGCTGGTGAAGTGGGTTTACGTATTGTAGAGTTAAATAAAATGATCATGAGCAATGTAATGTTTGAAACGGATGTCATATCAGATGTCAATAGAGTGCCAAAGTTACGACGTCACTCTGTAGGCCAAACGCGGAGTTAGCATTTTAGCACTCGCTCTAAAGTCTCTGGGATTTTTGAATGGGTTTTTGCTAAATCGCCTGAAATAAGGTCTGTGGTGAACAAAGCCTCTAAATATTTTCACGTTTTGATCTATGACATAGAACACACATGTATAACCTACTTGTGGTTTTTTAAACTTTATTGTGTCTGCTTGTGTTTTTAAAAAACTTTATATAGGCTTCAAAATGTATACATTTTGGATTAACTTGTAAAGATTATCTTGATAGACAAAACGTGTAAGTGTCACAACTCTTTGTTAAACACAAATCTTATTTTTTGCGATTTTCCAAAAGTCTATGGGGAAAATGCATAGCTTTTCGATCAAGAGAACCCATGCGCCACTAGCTTCCGAGTTGTCCTACAAAGTGACGTCATCACTTCGGCACTCTATAGCATCACAGTCCCGCTCACAATTTCTCCATTGACAGTTGAGATATAAGCCATAAAAATGTAACCATAAATGGTAGACTTAAAACCAGCTATGGCTGTACTAATCAATTGTATATTCTCATATAAACGCCAAAAGTTCATGGGACACTAACCTTGTTTTAAGATAAATGCCTTTTATTTGTGATGTCTTGGTTAAGTACTTCATTACCCACAATCCTGATCAATCCCACAGTGATGTGATTGGTGGAAGTCATGTAATGTGTCTGAAACCCTGTGAAGGTACATGAAGACTGAAGATTGTGTAATGACGTAGGGCTCAGTTCATTGGCCGCACCTCAGAGACGCCCCCGCGCCATTGGATGCGCAGTTGCCGCAGCACGGCCTATGAGCGAGCCAGATTGCATCAGTAAATTGAGGAAAAGGAGTTTCCCTGCCCATTCACTATAAATTCACGACCCTCATTATGTTACTGCGTTAGTGTGGGGCTATTTTGAGCCTTGTTAGTGGTATTAACTAGCGATTTCTTTTGACTTATTTTATGCCCCCATTACTAGCATTATACGCTAAACAGTTTTTAGAGATAAAACTCTTCACATTCGATTATCATGAAAACAAATCTCAGAGAACAGTTGACTAGGTACCGATGTTTTATTAGACCAAAGGTTCATTTTGCGCCGGAGTTCTCCTTTAATGCAGTATTTAACATTAATGGGACCTACGGACAACAAACTAAGTTCGAAAGAATGAATATTCCACAATGGTTTAATTTCCAGATTTTAGTTTTTACTTTAGCTTTTTAGCGTGCGTGCGTTGGATCCTTCGGTCTTGATCAAGCATCAAGCTACTTCTTTTTCTCCTAAATTCAGTCTGTATTTGCGCATTTGAGGTGCTCTCAATATCTGCTTTGAACCCAACATCAAAACTACACAACACAAAGAGCCGCCTGACAAACCACCCGTCCCTCTTCTCTCTCAGATATTACCAATGCCATTTGAAGAGAGTCAGACATACTTTTGATAGAAAAGTACACAGCAGAGCAGTTATCTTCAGTTTAAGACCATAAGTTATTTGACTATTACGGACAATTTGAGCATTGGTTCTGGAGGATCATTTTCATAGCCATACATTCAGCCTCTTATTTCAGTTAAAGCGCAGCAGCAGAGCATTGACTCTCTTTTGAATAATGACTTATTTGCATAAAATATTCTGTGCATTTTCACACAAACACACCAGCCTCCTGAGAAATTAGGCCCAGTAATGAATCCTCAGATTCATTACGCACAGTTTAATGGGATATAGCCACAGCAGTGATGGATTGTTATGTGAAACAAAGCGAAAGGAATGCAAAATGCATATAAACGTACACACACACACATGCCAGACCATACAGCCTATAAGTTGAACTATGTAGGCTACTTAATAGGGTTAGGGATTGGTTTATGGTTACACTCTAAAAATTGCTGGGTTGTTTTAACCCAATTTTGGGTCAAATATGGAAAAAACTCAAACATTGGGTTAACATGTCACTTAAAAATGTAACCCAATGGCTGGGTTTGTCTATATTTGACCCAAAATTGGGTTAAAACAACCCAGCATTTTTGCATGTAATTATGCAGAATTGATAGTTATCACTATATGTAACAAGGACACTAAAATAAAGTGTTACACAGAGTCAGACATTTGATATGGTGAGCAAATTAAGTAGCTCTCTATGTTGTGTTATTATTATACATCAATTTAGCTCTCTATCTGCTGACAATAATAACCCGGATAAATAACCTTGCACTGCAGAACACGAATGCTTCATATCATCATCCCTCCTGAGTTCGGATCCTCTGAGATTGGGAACTGAACAACACCAAAGCCGTGTTTGAGATGTCAGTGTTGACGACATGAAGCATATTTTTAACAAGAATAAGCTTTTGTTGTCTTGGCAGATGTTTTGTGTCTCCTGCAGGTGCTGATGAACAGGACATCATGCTATAAATACATATTAGAAACATTATTCAGTGAATATTGCCTTCATTTTGTTACTTATAAGTAAATTTTGTAATAAGTAAGTTGCTAAACCCATTTAAAAAAAATAAAAAAAATTGAAAAAATAAAATAAAAATTGCCATGGCATCATATCACATTTCCATTTAGTTGAAGCACTAAAATAACTAAAACTAAACATTATTAAAATAATAAATAATCCTAATAAAAATATATATACATATATGAACAAAACAAAAATATATAGATAATATAATATAGAAAATATATTTAAAAAATAGATAGAACTAAAATTAACATGAATTATGATTGAACTAAATGATACTAAAATAGCAGCTTCATACAATTTTCAGCATTTGAGTCCCTCTATTAGTTAATGGGTCTCTTTACCCTAAAGTCTCAAATCGTACTCTCCTTCCAGTTCTACTGATTCTTCGTTTATCTGTCAAGCCTTCAAAAGGGAATCTAAGCCACATCAAATAAAGACTTTAATCTTCTTATACACCAGGGCAGATTAACACAGTATATGTGTCACCTCACTTAAAGAGACACTGTTAAAAGCTGATGGAAAATAAATACTCATAAATCAGACATGGATTTCAGTTCGGCTGCACTGTAAGGATCTCTACGGTGATTCCATGCGGCCTGACATTTGGTGTCCATTCATTTAAAAAAAAAAAAGCTTACCAGGTTTATATATGACCTTTTGTTGTAAAGAGCATCTGAGTCTATGACAGGTATCAAGAGAAGGCCTTTTTACCAATAGCGGCATTGCCTCTGCTGTTGGAGATGGGCCACTGAGTTTCATTTCAAAAGACAATGGTGAAAATTGTGCTTTTCACTTTCATTGCACAATAAATCAAGCAGTTTCTTTTTTTTTCAGGACCAGCTTAAAAAAAGTGTCCTTAATAACACCCAGGTGGAGATGCTGGTTGTAGCTCAAAAGGAGAAAGCAAAGCAAGGACTAATAGAAGAAGCAGAAAAACACAAATGCAAAAAAGCCACTCTTAATCTCTTTTTCCCATTAAGTGGAAACTTCACACGAGCAGTCAAATGGCTTATAGTCATCATCTCTTCATTTTGACCTAGATTTTATAAATAACCAAACTGGGCCCATTTACATCCTCTTATTATTATTGGTGATGTTCAGTAACTCAGAAAAAGAAATCCGTGTATCCCATTGCGCACATTTAATATGTTACTATAATAAAAAAAAATGGGCTGTAGAAGTTTGCTTGTTGCTCCTTGTGTAAAAAGAGTATAATTTATTACCCTTAAGAAATATTACACAGAAGAGCATCTATCAAGCCTAAATAATTGTTTTATTTGTTTCAAAAAGAACCATAGAGATCTGATTTGTATTAGCCTAGATTAGTTAGGCATTTTTTATTCATTATTATTAGTATTATTATTTAATTTTCCTACAAGCATATTATGTTAATTTGTAAATGTGTACATAATCCTAAAGTTTACTATTATATGAATACTTGGTTCATTATTTCAGTGGAAAGGGTTATTGCGGGCAAAAAAAAACCTTTAATTTGAATTAAGCTTTTTTGTTAATGCTTTGGAAAATTAGTAAAAAAAGACAAATCTGAGATTTTCTGAAAAATAATTTATTTGCAGAATAAAATAAAAGTTATTTTGGCATAAAAAAATGATGTACACTGCTTTTTTTTGCACTGTCTTTTGTATACATCACTACTGCTGAAGAAACGAGATGGTCCTCACTGCAGAACATGAAATCCACAGGGAGGAGTCGGATCCAGATCCAACTCTACCCACCTTACATATACCTAAACCTACCCAGCTCCACCCCCTGATCCCTAAACCCAACCAACTCCGCCCCTCAGATCTGGATCCGACTCCGCCCCCTGGATCTGGTGTACTGCAATGAGGTGCTACAGGAAGAAACAGCATGTGCACAGTGCCATGTCTTATTGCAGTGAAGTGAAGAAAAAAATTGTTTAATCTCATCTCAAAGCTGAAACACACTTTACATGTAATATTATAAGTGTATAAAATGTCATTCTTCATCCAACTCATAAATACCAAGGCCCAGCCTGAATGTTATTTGCCTTACAGTGAGATCAGAGCAATACTTCTGCCATAAAATGGTCTTTTCCTAAAAACTTCTCCCTGATGTCAGTCATGCTGTCACAATATTCCTCTTCCTCTAGTCAGGAACATGCCATTATTGTCATCTGATAAAGAGGCATTCTTATATTCATTAATAAAACTATACATAAACAGTCTCATTCTCTATAGTTGTCTTCATAATCCAAAACCAAATCTAATGACAAACATCTTACAAAGAAAAAACATATATTCATAATAGACAAAAAACTTTTTTCAAATGCGCTCTCCCACTATTGCACAAATGTATAAAGATGCAAATAATGTACAGTATCAATAACCTTTACAAAATTAAGACATTTTAGGCCTTAAAGGGGCTATATGTAGAATTCAGAAACCCTTATTAGCGACATCGGTGGCCGTTAAGTGAACTGCAGCCAGCAACTTATTGCTCGTGCTCGCGCACGTGAACGTACAAGAGACTGCATTTAGAGACGTTTAGGTAAATATGTGCTGTGCGCTTTCCTCTCAATAACAAACACACAACTAAAATGGCTGCAGTTAAGAAAGTATCCGACCGCAACAACGTGGATATGTTTGAACCAGCTCGTGATTTACAGGCATCATGTCGACGCCAGATGAGGTCATTTAAATTATAAAGTATAGTTAAGATTATAGACTATATAAATCTGAATATGTGAGACTATATAGTTTGAATTAATACCTTTTTATTTGCATGAAATTGACACTACAGAATAGCTCTTTCGTGAACATTAATTTCATGTTTCATTAAACCGAACAGAGGTTGTCGGGAGTGCGCGTAACCGCAACATCCTTTAGATTTTCACGGTAAAACCGGTCCGAGTCCACATAAAAATCACTCTAGAGGCTTTCATAGGCAGTGTTGGGCAAGTTACTTTTAAAAAGTAATTAGTTACAGTTCCTAGTTACTTCTTACAAAAAGTAACTAAATTAGTTACTCAGTTACAAATTTTAAAAGTAACTAGTTACTTAAAGTAATTATTGCTTTACTTTCAAGTAAAATTAAATTGACCCCACCTCTACCCCTCTTTAACGGAACTTAAAATACATGTTCAATTATTTATGATAAATGTGAATATTAATGAAATGGACACTTAATACAATACATTATTAACAGAAACATGAAACATTGTACACACATCTAAAAAAATGTTGCTGTGTGGGACAAAGTGACACTAGCCTCCAATCAAATGCCATGTATGTAGATATTATGTTAATACAGCGGATCAATGCAAATAACACAATAGATGTTTTGTATCTTTTGATATTTATTGCCCCTCAACAGGCCACAACTGTTCGCGAATGAGCGTTAGTGATGATGGATCGGCTCATTCACGAATGAGCTTTTGATGGGTTGTTCGCGATTCGCGAATGAGTCGACTCTTTTAGGTGAACGTCGGGAGCTCGCTCGCATATCTGAAGAGCCGACTCTATTTTTACAAATTTAGCCTATAGAAATTAAATAATTATGTAATAAAAATTGAAATATTAGAGTCAAAGTCATTTGAAGAGCCGTTTGTGAGCCAAAAGAGCCGGATGCCCATCACTACTATGCGTGCTCTACCTCTGATTGGCTTACAATGACATTTTACTCTACCTCAGCCAATCGTCAGCATTTATGCGCTTGTCTCGTGCTCTGCCCACTAACCAAGGAAGAACAGTAAAAAAAGTATTTGCCTCTCGCTCAAAGATCTAGTTGGTCTGATAAAAAAAACCAAAAAAAAAAAAACAGCTTCATCAGTTATAGTAACGCGCCGCATTTTTTGGCAGTGACAGTAATGGCGTTATTAAGATGAGAAGAGTAATCAAATTAGATTACTCGTTACTGGAAAAAGTAATGCCGTTAGTAACGGCCACATTTATAACATTTATACATGAAAATTCGTACATGTAGCCCCTTTAATAAACAATATAAATTAACAGCAGAAAGCAAATGCTGCAAAAAGCACTTAAAAAGAAAAAGATCTCTCAAACACCCTTTTGAATGTTTTAAGATATAATCGATATAGTTTTCATATAGAAAATCTCTGTATGTATACAATATAATTATACTGTATATTAGTATTGATAATTGTGATGTATTAAATACCAGACTGGATAGAGCCCAAGAACATAATCAACTCGCCTGATGATGAATAACCATTTAAAATGGTTCATTTTAGTTAGCTTTTTACTTGAAAAATTGAGGAAACAGTCATTTTGTGGCTGCATTTGTGTATGATGTCTGCAAATTGAACAAACCAGCTACCAGTCAATGAAACAGCGAGGCAACGATCAGCTAACTACTACAACATTTTACTGGCACTGGAGAAACAGTCCATCTAAAAACAAGATGGACCCAGTAGAAGAGATTGAATGAGTTTATAATAAAGTGCAACAACAGTCCTGCACATCCCGGAATAAGAGCTAAACTCAAAGGACGATCGTCGGTTAGAATGACGCTTGAAACCCTCTATAAAACGGACTCCATGTTTTCACACCACTCGTGATCCTCCAGGTTATATATAAATTTAGTCCGGTTGACTTGGCTTTGACTGCTGTCCTTTCCGAGACTGTCCAGGTTCACGCTGGACGAGATCATTTCTGTGGGCGTGACGTATCCCTCGTGGTTTTTAATGTACTTCTTGTAGTTTCTGCGCAAGCATTGCCACGTGGTTGTGTAGAGGAGGAATGCCACAATTTTGAGAACGATGGCCATGCCGACGTACAGGTGGCGGTAGGTCACGTTGTTGTACAGCAGACAGGCACCTCTCTCCCCGCACTCGGTGCTCCAGAAAAGGCATGTCGAGTCAATCCCCGCACCGAATATCAAAGGAGGGGGAATGAACCCTGCAAGATGGATTGAGTTGCTGTGATAATCCATCACATGCGTAATTGATTTATTTTGAAGACAAAATGACATTTTAACTTCACTTAGGGTGTGTTCACACTTGGCAGGTTTGGTTGGATTAAAACAAACCCTGGTGCGATTGCTCTGTTAATGTGGCTCATTTAAATAAGTGTGAAGCCTCGTGTGCATCAAACAAGCGGACCGAGACCCACCTTTTCAGAGCTTCTAAACAAACTCTTGATGCGGTTTGGCTGAGATATGATGGCATCTAAACAAACCAAAAACCAAACACAAAATGTGACCCTTAAAAGGACAGAATGCTCAAGGATGCCTGTTTCTTGTCATCATGTTGCCCAATGCAGTTTGGTACAGGCATCAGAACAGCCGTCTCCTTGCAGAAGATCTTTGCTTGTGGATTCCTGGTGCTTTTTTTTACTTCTTACAAGTTTTTTTTTACCATGAAATGACCAAGCATTGTTTTCTTTTTTAGTTCAGACCAACAGAACCAAGAGAACTGAAATATAAGTGGGAACACACCCTTCTACACAAAGAAGTAGAAGACATACACAAATTATGTAGGAAGAGTAATTGATGAATTTATGACAAGAGTGCACCTCAAAAAATCTGCATCATAACACGAGGTCTGACCTTTGTCACAAAAAGTCGATGCACCCACTTTCAATCATTGAAACTTCTTTTTTTTTAATGCTAAAAGTTCATAATAAAACATGTAATCTAGTATTTTTCAAAAAATTATATTATAATATTATCCTCTAAAAATTATAATGTATATGTAGTATCCTCTAAAATATATTAACTTTTTTATCGTCTTTTTTATTATATCACATATTTTAGCAGTTATCATAAATTAGGTATAATTTGAAAGCTTATAAACTCAGAATTCATCCGGCGAAAACCGTTTTAAAATTGAACGTTGCGTTACCATAGAAACGGTACTCTATTATTTTATCAGGCTCCTCCCCTTTTGGGCATCAGTATATTTCATAATTTATGATCAAAACCTTTTCTAATCTTGACAAAACACATATTGTCAGAAAGGTCTGTGTCTCAAGGTTCCAAATTTTGTGAGAAGAATTGATATTTAGACAGAAATGTATTAATTTGTTAAGGCAAAACGTATACAACTAAATTCAATGGAATTAAATGGTACCCGGTGGCTATTTTTGGTACTACACCTAAACACAATCTCATGGGAACTTCAATTTTTGTGATATCAACTTCAAATTTGGATCATAACTTGGCTAGATTAATGGCTTTGATTTTATAGTAATTTTAGAGTAAAATATTGTGTAAAATATATATTTTATATAAAATAAAAAAATATAGTACAGTATATTTGATTTACTGTAAATTTAAACTTCCATAACTTTTAAAAACAAGACCAAACTTGGGTATATATTGCAAATCATTCTTGAATTACGAACATTTAGGGTTTGAATAGTGCATTTTAACCCCCATTCACAAGTCAAGTCTCAATTTTCGAAATAGAGCAATTTGAAAACTATTTATTGAACAGAAGTGAACTTGTCCTTGTTTCACAACGTTTGGATAGCAATAGTTTGGATATGCTTCTTTTAATTTCAGTAAGGCAGACAGATTCCCCTGCTGAATGTACTGTTTCAGTTTGTAAATGTGATTGTGCTGTGCTGCGATATCTCACCTAACAGTCGCAGTAACAGAAAAAGAACTCCAAGGGCGTATGACTTCAGCTCTGGGCTCACAGTTCTAAAACAGCAAGAGATAACAAATAAAAAACATTTGTCTTCGGCATCAAACCATTTCTGGAGGATCATGTGACACCGATGACTGGAGTAATGATGCTGTTTTGCATCACAGGAACACATGACATTTTAAAATATAAACAGTTATTTTAAAAAGTAATACTATTTCACAGTATTATTGATTTACAGTATTTTTGCTCAAATAAATTCAGCATTAGTGAGCATAAGAGACTTCTTTCAAAAACATTACAAATCTTGCCAATCCCAGACTTTTGAAAGGTATTGTAAAAAAGATAGATAGAGAGATATGCCCTACACACACACACAGACACACAAAATAAACCTTCCTGCAATGAAAAACTGTATTATAAAAATGAATTGTATTCAAAATGAAATGAAAATAATAATAAAAGTAATAATTTTTTGCAAAAAAAAAAAAAAAGCATTTTGTAGCCCAATATGTGTTTGCGCAGGGCCACCACCGAACCCTGGTTGTATGCCTAAACTTGACATAAACTGTGAACATATCCCTCAAATCCAGGGTGCGTTTCCCGAAAGCATCGTTAGCCAACTATGGTCGCAAGTTCAGTCGTTATCAGCATAGTTCAGCGAGTCGATGTTTCCCCAAACAATCGTTCCAACGAACATTGGCAAACAGCATCGCAAAGTTGTGTGGTTTGAACGTCAGCTCTTGACCTTTGGTTAGAGGCGGAGTTTCTTTATTGCATGACATTTGGACGTAATAAATCATTATCTTGAGTAGAGCCTGACCGATAAAGGATTTTAAAGGCAAAATATTTTTGGGTTTTACAATCCGATATTCCGATATATCGGCCGATATTTTTTTTTATTAAATATTGTTGGATTTCACACACGTGTAAAAGAAAAGCTAACTTTTCTGCACAAGATACGTTTGATACTTTTTCTCTATGTCTAAATGTTCACTCCTCGCAAGTATAACTTACATTTTACAATGCAGGGACTGTAACTAGAGATATGCTAGTTATAAATACAGTAATCATTACTTTATTTAGGCAGAAAAAGTTAATAGCTTGTTTTCACGTGACGTCACGCCACTGCATTGCCTTGGCGCGAAACGGAGATGGAGGGCAGGAAGTGATTTTCTATATTAGGAAGCACTATAACACACTCAAAATGCCTATCTTTTGCGTCGTTTATGGTTGCTCAAATCGATCAAAACACGAGGAGTTTCTTATCGTGTGCCAAAAGCTGTTGTTCATAAGGGGGGAAAATACAAGAAATTGACAGAAAAACACCGGGGAAAATGCCTTGCAAACGTACGTCTGCGGTCGGGAGCAACCGAATGGGAAAATGCCTGTGTGTGTGTGCAGTGATCACTTCGTCAAATGTGAGTAACGTTATACATTATTTATGTGGCTGATAATTACATTATTCGGGTGTTTAAATACACTTATGTGGCTGTTTGTGTAACGTACCAGTTTCCGAATTTTGTAAAGTCAAAGTATGTCTGTAAGACGAGTTAGTTGCTGATATCTAGCCTCGATGGCAGGCAAATCTCTCAATTCAGTTGAAAATCGGTCCTCTTCATAACGTAAGGATCACGTCCAACATATGTTTCGATTTTCTGTTTATATATTTCTCTTGTAATAGCGTCTAAAGTAGTACAGTACGGATTTTCCTCCATCTCGTCCATTGCGCTCTTCACTCCTTGCCCTCCATCTCCGTTCCGCGCGTCAACACAATCACGTGACTGCAAACCACCTATTGTGGTTTCCAAGCTCATTAATGTTAACGTTAGCGGTCTTCCACTGATGATAGTGGCATTAGCTAGCTTTGTGGTTAGCTAGTCTATGATGAGCCATAATTTAGCAATAGATCACATCATACTGCAAATTGTAAAACATACATTTTCAATATAACAGGCCAAGGAGAGATGATTAAAGCGTGTTTCGTCCGTTTTTATTTTATTTTTTAAATATTAATTTATCGGCCATTATAACTGCCGATACCGATATTATGGAAAATGCCTAATATCGGCCGATAATATCGGCCGGCCGATATATATCGGTCTGGCTCTAATCTTGAGCAAAATAAGCAAGCTGACATTCAGTGTGACCAGTGCCTTTTATTTAGAATACAAATGTAATTTACATCTTTTAGTTTGTCAAAAGATTTAAAGTACCGATTGTGAAGAGTGCGCACGTGCTCTACTATGTAAGAACGAGCCAAATATTGAGTTTGGTAATAAAGCAAAATTAGAAATAGTCCTCAGATGACATGTCTGTACGTTATATACAAAAAATCTAGCGTTAACTGGATCTCAAACAGTTTCATTAAAAGTAGTTTTTACTACACCACGTGTGAAACCAACATGGTTGAACGATACTTTGTGACAATGGGTTTCGGGAAACAGTCGTGACTAGGTAGTTGATTTCTCCAACGATGCATCGTACTACGGCAGTGAAGCAGCGAACAACATAGTTGTACGGGAAACGCAGCCCTGATTGGTTGACTGAAACATAGATGTTGATCCAGGAACATGTTGTACTTGGTGAAATCACAGACAGATGGATGGACAGGGTCACCTGATGAGGATGATGACGGAGGGTGTCTGGGCCATTGCTCCGATCATACTGCAGGCACAGATCACACACAGGAACGTGAGGAAGGCTTCCTTGCAGCCGCGGCGCGGGCATTTCCCTGGCACAGCCGTGGCAAAGTCATTGTATTCGGAGATGCACGAGCACCTCGTCAGGTTCTGCCAGTGTAAAAACACATGAACATGTTCACTACAAAGCCAGCAAGTACTTGTGTGTTCATACACTGTACGTTCTACACTGTATATGAGACCATTCAACATCGAAATTAAAATGAGGGTTCAAAATAATAATAAAAAAGTATGTAAATATTAAATGGACTGGTATTCAATAAACGAGTTAGCTGTCTAAACATATTAAAAGTCACTTTTATCTGCAGAGAACTGATGCACCCACGGAGCTCGGGACGAACAGGCTCATTAAACCCACCGGACGGTATATATTAATGTCGTGAACCAGTGTTCAATTATGATAATAGTTGTGTGACTGTTGTCTTGGAATCATCTATTCCAGTATGAACCATTCTCGTTGTATGCTAATGAGTGCAGTGGCCATTAAGATGCCTGGCAGACAGAACGCTGTGTCCTCTTCAACACTGTATATGTGATGAGCGATGTGGGCTTCATTTCTAATGACCCACGCTGGACACGTGCTGTCCAGGAAATGAGCGGAGAGCGAGAAAAGCTGCCACACAGAGACTATGTGTCAGCGAATAGGAAAGAGAGTTAAAAATGAGATGGGTAATGACCTGAAAGCGAGGAGGAGGTGGTAGTCCGGTACCGATGGCACTGGTGCAGCCAGCGAAACAGGAGGACAAGTAGGTCACACCATTGGAGCCACAAACGGGGCTGATTGATGAAGTGTAGCAGTTGCAATGACTCATGCAGGGGGCTTCCGGCTTCTGGCCTACTTGCAGTGTCCTATACACACAAACACACATTCACCTGTTTGAATCGAGTTACTTTCTATAGATTTACTGTCACTGAGTTCATCTTAGCGCTGACTAAGCTTCAGGATATACACCCCGGTTTGTTTAACATACAGCCCAGATGGAATTGTTTGACTTCTCTTTGTAGGGAAAGGCCAATACAATGTGATATTACAGTGATGAGAATAAGTTTGGACACCCATGCTAAAGTTGCCTAAAAAGAGGAATAAAAAAATCATGTTTAGGATATTAATTAGAAAAATGAGGAAAACTCCAACCTTTAAGGACACACATTTTCTTTGTGAATGAATAATGTATCCTAAATAAATAAATGTTCTTCCTTAAAATACAGGGTGCATAAGTCAGGACACCCCTACCTGTTTGTTAATTAAAAATATCCCCACATCATCAGACACCTTCCACCACACCTAGAGATTGGCATGGGGTACTTTCCATAAGATCATCTTTCAATGCAAATCAAACCAGCTATTAGGCTAACTGAAGTAAAACCATGCCAATCTCTAGGTGTGGTGGAAGGTGTGTGATGATGTGGGGATATTTTAATTCCAAAGGCCAAGGGAACTTTATCAGGATGCATATTATCCTGGATCCATGAAATAACTGGCTTTTAAAAATAAAAATCTGCCTGACTCTATGGGAATTTAACATAGGGGTGACCTGACTTAAGCACCCTGTATTTTGAGGAAGAACATGTATTTATTTATGAGACATTATTCATTCACAAAGTAAATTGGTGTCCTTAAAAGGTTTGATTTTTCTAATTAAGACATTTTCTTAAGGCATTTTTATTGATCATTAAGATCAATATCCAAAAGATGATTTTTTATTCCTCTTTTTAGGCAACTTTAGCATGGGTGTCCAAACTTATTCACATCACTGTATACACAGATATGTTGAATAAATACGAAACGAGTCTGAACAAATTGGAGCAGCGCTGATCTCTCATTCGTGTCGTGACCAAACTGAATGAATGAAACATCCGATCAAGAGGAGGCATGTAGTTCATACGGTTCGTCTTATGCAGAAAAGAATGTGTAAAAATGACTGATGACTTTATAAGGTATGATTCAAGCTCTTAATTCATGAAAATCTAGGATTCAAAAATTAAAAATTTCCAGTTTTCACAAAAATGGTTCTGCAAATAACTTATACAATCTATTACACAAGTAAATATATATATATAATAGGGGGTCAAATAGACAACTTTTCTGCTAAAATTTGAAAAAATCTGTATACTACAGACAGACAAACAGATAGATAGATGGAGACAGACAGACAGAGACAGATAGAGACAGGGTGTATGTGATTTCACCAAGTACCACATGTTCCTGGACCAACATCTTTGTTTATCCTGGATCAACTTTCCAATCAACCAATCAGATTTGAGGGACAAGTTTACAGTTTTTGGCAAGTGTAGGCTTAGAACCAGGGTGAAGTACTTAAATCAGTGTTATTCACCTATCATTATCCTCTGGTTTTAGGAAAAAGTTATGGGTAGGGTTAGGTTTAGAGATTGGGTAAGGACTACATTTTGGGATGGGAATGATGGACAAAATATGTAGATCCAGGACCATGTCTTGGCAAAATCAGAGACAGATATATAGATAGAAAGACATATAGATAGGCAGATAGATTGAATAGTAATTATAATAATAATAATAGAAATACATAATAAAAAATGGTATTAAAGTGTATAATAATAATAATAATAATAATAATACAGTAATAATAGGGAAAACTTTTCTGCTAATAATGTGCAATGAAAATGTTTATTAAAAATGTAAAAACTAAAAATATTTGTATTAAAATTAGAGTACATAAATAATAATAAAAATAAAATAAAAAACAATTAAAAAATACAGTTTCTTTTCTAGAGGACCATGATAACCAGATTAAAAACATTGCAGTCAGTGAGATGAATCAAAATCCACACCATTATTGTGAGTGATGGGTGTATGAACTAAGTAAATCGGTGGAGTTCAGTAAGTACAGGCTCCATGTAGGCCTGGAAAATAAACCAGGATGTATTACTCATCCGTTTCCCCTGAAATACTCAAAAGTAGGGAATTCTATAAAATGCAAACCCTGACCATACATACATACTACACATAAATAGAGGTTTCAGCATGCAGACAAGTCGTCCTCTACCCTCTCTCTGCAAAGCCTGAATAAATGGCAGAAAAATAACAAGGCTGCGAGGAGAGAAAAGCAGCTGAGCGCCCTTACTCGTTGCCATAGGCGACGGTCACCCCAGCGACAGGTCCTGTGTCACAGCCCAGGAAGAGGAAGGACACGTAACACGCAGTGGAGATCAGGTTGACCAGCATGGCCATTCGTATGGCTCCCAGAGCAGACAGGTTCAGCTTCTTCACCAGCAAACCTCCTAAGAATATGCCCAGACAGGCACACGGGATGGCTGTCATCCCTGTTTATGAAGAAAGAATAACGTGTTAAAAATAAAGCTTCGCTGTCAATACCCTTTATCTTTGTGCTTTTATCTTGTATTGCAGAACCTCTGATGTAGATAAAGCACTTTTGTTGTATAACTCCTCATTTGTAAGTCACTTTGGATGAAAGCATTTGCTAAATAGATAAATGCATAATGCTATAATTATAAACTATGATTTGCATAATTTCGTGGCAAAGATAAATGTGTCAGGATAAAGGAAGTTCCAAAAGTCTGAGATTCAAAATTGAATCTGAGATTCAATTCAAAATCAAAATTTGATAAAAAATTGTCTTCAGAAAAATGGTTGCAGCAAAGATCGTTGTACTAATAATTTGAAATAAAATAATTAAATTAAATGAATGAAATAATTTAATAAATAAATAGAAACAAAATTCAACTAAATATTTGGGAAAAATTATATCAAATAAGTTAATAATAGTGCGAGCAAATCGATTAATCGCAATCACATATAACATGAAAGTTTGTAAATACACACACACACACACACACACACAGTTGTGGTAAATATGATCAAAAATGGCTGTAAAAATAAATCTAAATT